CTTAATACATTTTAATCTAATAACATCAAAAACTAAAATGCAATAAAAATCTCAATTTTGCTAAAAAATTCCCAGAAACTGATTTTCCTAGCAATCAACCCATTTATAAAAATTGTTGAACCTAATTAATTATTAATAGAATTAGTATTTTTGTTTTAATAAGCGGAAACTAATTTTATTTGATCAAAATTTTTTTAAATTTGTGATTTTTGCTCATTCTGCAAGGAATTTTTTCAACACTATATTTTTTTTTATTTTTATTATTTTATTTAGTTTCTACAGAGGTGAAATTAAATTCTGAAATAAATAATAATAAGAATGCCGAAACCGATGCGTTTCGAAATACCAAAAACTGAAACTCTTCAAATTTATTTTTGAAATATCGAAAATAGAAATTACCATCCGACTTATTTATAGTGCCGCCCAGAATTAAATTTAGACTATAAGTCAGGATTTATCTATACCTGAATCGTGTTAAATTGGATTACTAACTTTATTTTAAAAGTATGACTTATCTACACTGCCTTCTTTTACGATCTATATAATAAATTTTGGTACAACAATAATTGTTTTCCTTATAAGCTATATTTTATCGCCGCTTTTTATTTTAAAAAAAAATATTGTTTTACCATTATTTTCACCATTTTGATTATCAACTTTGCGCTTTTTTGTCTTCAATGTCATTTTTGCCTTTTAATTAAACCAGCTTAAATAATTTGACTTTCAAGTCTTTTTTTTTGCGCAAAAAAAATCGTATCTCTTTTTAGTATAAAAAACTAGGGATGTTAAAATGTCCCATGTAGTATCCCCTAAATGGTTACGTTACGATTTCGTCATTTAGGTACGGTACTATAAAAGTTTTGCAAGTACGAATGTTTTTTACTGATCATACCGTATCTATAACTCTGTATGTATATATAAATACAATCGTTATTGCGTGCATGATACGATCCTATTTATTTAAAAAACGTACCTGCAACTATAGTACTTACCTGCAACTTACGTACCTGCAACTTAATTTATACAGTACAAACATAAACTTAAATATTTACTAGACTTAATTTTAGCGATCATTTAATATACTTAAATTATTTTTTTTATATTTTTTAATTTGTGAATATCTTATATTATATTTATTATTCAATAATGCTTGAAATTATAATTAATTGTATTTATCTAATACATACCGATATGAAAATTATTTTATTAGAAATATTTTATTAAAACAACAAATATTGCTATCAAACGTACCCAAATATATAGAGTTAATGATCGCCGTTAATTCTTCGCTTTGTTTTACCTCAAATGCGTTAATGTCCAAAATGCGCAATTGGGATATTTCGGATATCACAAATGATCATTTAGGATATCCCAAAAGACCAATTCAGACTCATTTCGGACTGTCCTAAATGACCACTAAAGATTTGAGTTTATTAAATTAATTTATATTTTATTTATATTTAATATTTTTATTTTTATTTTTATAAAATATAAAATATAAAAATATATACTTACTTAAAAGATATATTTATAAATATATAATAATAATATTTTTATTATTAATTTGATATATATTTATTAATAAAATAATTTTTTTAAATAAAAAATTTAGTTGACTTTAAATTATAAATATTTTACTTTCTGTAATATTATAAAGAATATTAATATTTTTTATAAATATAATTAATTGAATTAATAAAAATAATTTACCAACTAAATTATTAATATTTTATTTTATTATAAATTTTATTAATAATAAATATTAATAAAATTATAAGTATAAATAATTTACCAACAAAAATATCATTAATTATCATTAAAAATTTTTATATAATAAATTAAGTTTAAATTAAACATAAAAATAAATAACTTACTCCCTATAGTATTATAGATTATTAAATATTTTTGAATAGCAGTTTAATTAAATTAATTATTAAATAATCATATAAATAAATAATAGATAAATAATAAAGTTTATTACCATTTAATTCTTTTGATGAAGGAGTATCTGAAACTGATTCTATATTCGAATTTGATAAAAATTTAATTTTTAGCAAACAAAAATGAGTATAATTAACGACATGTATTACCTTCTAGTGAGGAAGCTTTTTAGCATCCAAAACTGGCTCTAATGCAAATTCGTGAAAAAAAAAAGATTTAGAATAATATCAAACCGTCAAATTAACTTATTTTATTCAAACGAAGCTTCATATCTTTTATTCGTTTTTATTGTTTGGTAAAATATTTTTAGTTTCTTTATTACACTCTTACCTTTATAATTATTAGACATTGTTAAAATTTATAATAAAAAATAAGTATTTTTTAAAAAAAAAAAAAAATATTTCAGAATGTAAATAGTAAATCATTGGTATGTAGATGTGAAGATATTTGTAATTAATAAAACAATCAGCGCATGCGCCACAGACAATTTTCTACAAAGTTTTTCTTTTCGAATTATAACTTACTAAACTTCACTTGAACTTTAAAATTCTATATGTGAGTATTTTGTTAGCTCTGCAAAGTTTACTTAGAGCGTTTCGATTTTAAAATTTGACTTGCAAAAATGCGCTCCACATAAATTAAACCATATAATCGGTGTAATCTGTCACAGATTTCAGACGTGCTTCAAAAAGAGCGACTTAGAATCGGTTCTAGAACCGATTCTAGACAGCATATTCTTAGTTTGCCTGGGTTACAAACCATTTTTACAAATATTAAAAGTCTGGCTCCGGACCGGGTCAAAAAAAATCAAATTGATATTTGTAAACCAATCAAATAAATTTTTAATTGGTCGATTTATCGATTTAACTTCCCACCCCTAGCCGAAAGTTTAGTAACGTCACATTCAAATAATTTTGGGCGTTTTTTAAAAAATGAATAGAACAATATTTATTCAAGAAAAATATATATTGTTACTCTAGTTTCAATTTGGCGGCTTTTGTTGTGAATTCTATATTATTTAAATTTTTAGCACGTAATTTATAAATTCGCCCGTCCCGTAATGAATTTCCGAAAGAATACTTTTTTGTAGAAATTACTTATCGCGAGACTGGATAAATATATAAATTTTATACTTTTCTAGCATACAGTATATTAAGTTTCATTTTATTATAACTTTTAAGAATGTTTAATAAACTAAACAACCTTACGATGTAAGTATAATACCATTCATAAAACGATAATGACAAATTTATGGAATAAATCTTATGATAAATAAATATAGAAATCCGTAACTTTAAAATGGTGATTCGAGCTTCACGTAATGCCAACTATTTTCTCATTTAATCATATGGTTTGACGGTTTTTTTTTTTATAAAAAAGTTTTTGGATGAATTCTTTTTTTTCTGCGTAGAATATGAATTATGCAGTATTTATTTAGAAAATACTTGCTTGTTCTAATAACGTTCTTTTTAATTTAATATATGCTTTTTTTTTTATCGAAATGCTTGAAATCAGGAAAAAAAAATTGGCGGCAATGTCGTCTGATTTCAGAATATCTATGATTTATCATTACGTTGAAATAAAATTTGTCCCTGAAAACTACAATTTATAAGCTTTCCGTAACAAAACATTTGTCATGCAACTGCTTGCTAAATTAAAAATACGATTCAATCAAATTGTAAGTATCTTCAAAGACTTGAACGGTGTGTGTGGCGCAGTTATGAAGTCTGCGATTAGCAACGTGTATTTTTATAAGTCAAAACATCAAATAAAAAACTAAAACATTGGACTTATCTAAATAACATTAGAGTTATTAATTATAGAAAAGTAGTGAGACAGGACACAATTAGAAGTAAAGAAAAAAATAAATGAATGCGTTAATAACTTAAATGATTATTTCGTATATCCCAAATCGAAATGCGCAATTAGGATATTATTTCAGACAAACGCATTGGGACTACAAAACCTTGAAAATATATCATCAAGAGATACAAGGATTTCTGTTTACTTTTCGTGGATTTAGGAGGAATATAATTTTTTTTTTTTTGAGAATAAAAGGTGCAATTAGAAAGGAATGAACGTAATCATCGTAAGGCCGCTCCAACAAATAGTTTCGTTTAACATCACATGGCGTAAAAAAAATTGAGGGGGGCGGGAGGGTTAAATTTAAACATAATAAATTTTAAACACATATATAAATCACGTGATTCGTAAAACTTGTTTAATGATCGATCTCTGACAAAATTACAAATACCGTATTTGTAAAATTTACACGTGAAAAAAATCTTCTCTCTCTCCTAATTCTGCACGAAAAGAAAGTTTTATCAAACAAAGAAAAAAGGAGAAAGAAATACAAGCGATACCTTTTCCTTTTATAATTATATCCATCAAAATGTTGTATTTGTTTGTGACAGTATATGAAAATGGAAAATCTTTAGTAAAATCAGCAGTAGTTGGTATTGAAGAGTTCAGAAATTTTGAAGATTTATTAAAAACAGCACTACATCGAAAAGAACTGTTTTTTGAAGAAATGTTAGTTAAAATTGATTTTCAATGTAATGATTCTTCAGTTTGGCATCCTATATTAAGTGGCCTTGATGAAGATTTGGAAGCGTGTTCTCAATTGAAGGCGCAGCATGTCCGTTTTTCAATAGATTCAATAATAAATCATCCTGATGAGTTGTTAGATGAAAGAGTTTCAGCATTGATCTCATGATGGCACAACAACATCTAAAAAAACTTCCGCCACCTTGTAACACCCAATTTCGTACGGATGTACTCTATAATGATTTTTTAAAAGTTTTGCAAGAAAGGAAATTGTTATGGCTTAATAATAGTCATATGACTATTGGACATGCATTTATTCGTAAAGTTACCGATTTAGTATGGTATTTGGATCCTCATCTTGGCAAATTGAAGAAACACAGCTTGAAACTACCGGTAATTATAGCAAAACTCCCCGTATATGCTTCTAAAAGTCACTATAATCTTTATTATGATACTATGAAACATAAAAAAAATGAAATATCGCGGGAAAAACTTGAATCATTTATTAAAGCATTGACTTTATCTATTCAACAACCTTGGACAAGTTGGGAAGAAGTGATTAAAGATATTCATGATTTAATAAAAATAGCTCAAGAGTATGCTAATTATCTGCAAGGTGTTAATAATAGAATGCGTACTATACATACTAGTCTAGTTCCTATAAGAAATGGCTGTGATGATATTATAGTTGAGGATATTGAAGCTGTTGATTTATATCCATCTTAATACGAGTCTTTAGCGCAACTTTTCATGAGTCTAATGATTATGATCTCTTGAATATAGATCATATTTACGCGAATTCTCTATCAAATTTAAAGAGTTTACAACTTTAATTTGTGCTGATGATAAACACAAAGTTCCTATTGGAGAATCTGTTGCTACTTCAACAGGAGTTAGAAATAAACCAACTTTGACTCCTGTGGATGGAATACTCAGTTCTTGCGACCATGATTTTACGAAATTATCTTTAACTCCTTCAGCTTCTTTATTTGTTAATATTCCAAATAATATATCTGATTCATTTTACCAGGGTTAAGTATATGTAGCATATAAGGATACGATTTTTCAACCAAGTTCTGCTATACGACATGCAACAGAGTTTTATAATAATTATTCTATTCAATATCAGGATAATATTAACAAACCTAAAATTTTACTTTTATATACTGATGGTGGTTCAGATCACTGATGCACTTATGGATCTGTTCAAATATCATTGATAGCCTTGTTTTTAAAAGGTAACTTTGATTTCTTAGCTGCTGTATGAACTGCACCCTATCATAGTTGGGCTAATCCGGCCGAACGCGTCATGTCAATATTAAATCTTGCTTTTCAAGATGTTGCTTTAAAATGAGAATCTATGAGTGAATCATCAGAACAAGCTTTTGATAAGCTTAAAAATTTATCTGAAATCTGTAAGGGAGCCAATTCTAATTTAAATTTGAAAGAAGAGCTTATTGAATCAATTAGCATTACTCAAGACTTCCTTGAAAACCGTACCTCACGTCTTTCTTTATATGATTTAAAATTCAAAATTGCTTCTCCTGCTATAGAACCTGAAATTGATTCTTTATTTGAGGTATGAGATATTTACTGTATTAATATTTGTTTAAATTTATTTTTGTTAATTATTATATTAATATTACGCACATTGTATCTAGTCTATATTATCAGTTGAAAGTCAGCTTACAGTTAATGATACAACACTTGTAGAATTAAGAAAATTTAATAAATTAAAAGAATTTATTGATATACATTGTCAAATCAGACAATATTCGTTTCAGGTATGTTAAATAGAAATAAATGCTTTATATCCTTTGTATTTGAAATTCATTATAAAACTGTAATTCTGTAGATTAAGAAATGCAATAATGTTGAGTGTAATATCTGTTTGCTAGTTGAATTACCAATTGAGATATTTAATGAATTGCATTTTTTGCCTGATCCTGAACCATTTATTGGTAAAAATTATACAATTTTTTGATATATTATTTCGTAAGTGTACAAATACTAATTACATCTTTAAAATTTTTATTTTAGCTGATTCTGATCAATATAAGGATTTTTTAAGTATATATGGTACTCAAACATCTGAAAAGTTTCATCCAAGTAAAGCGAGACAATCAGAAGCTGATAATTTACCCTAGGGCATCTTTAATAATAATCGTGTTTGAGAGTTTGTTGAATGTGATTTTTGTGGAAAAATTCGATGTATTTATAATATGAATGCTCTGAAAAAAAAACAGATATCCGTATTATAACTCAAAATAGATAATACTGATTTTACTTGCGGGATGGAAGGATGGATACCACTTTCACACGAGTTGAAAAATTTAATTTTTATTCATCAATCTCTTAGCTATGATTCTCCAATCGAAAGTGATTATTATTCAAGTCGTTTAAAAAAATCTCTTATTTGTTATTATTGTGGTAAAAATAATTCATTAGTGAAGGCAAGTGATGATTTGCTTAATGGATATCAATCTGTATATCCACTTTGTTCTAATTGTCAACTTTCAGGTCATTTTTTTTATACTTGGGGTAAAAAAAAAGTTGGGGAATCAACAAAAAAAGAAAAAGGACATAATAGTATAGTATAATCTTAATCTTTTAATAAAACAATTCTTAATATAATCTTTTAATTAAAAAATTTTTCAAATAAATTGATTTTACATTATATTTTTTATGAAATCACATGATATGTAAATGTTTGTTTAAATCTAAATTTTTAAAAAAATAGAGGGAGGAGGTTGATGTTAAACGAAACTATTTGTTGGAGTGGCCTTATTATAAAATAATAGATTAATAATTAGTTTATAAACTAAATCTATATATGGAGATCTGCACAACAAAATCCAAGATTAGAACCAATCACGTGATTTTGAGATTTTGTAATAGTCATATATCCAAAGTCTAACCTTTTAGAAAATAAGGTTTTTGGAGCATAATAAATAGTTAAAAAGGCGTAAAATTAACTTTTTCTCGTTGCCTTTTACTTTAAAAACTTTTGCAATTTTCGCTTCTTATTCTCATTAAATAATATGAAGTATGGCATTTATTTTAATAATAATAATGCAAATAAAAATATATTGGCTCAGAATTGAAAAATATGTTTTTTATTGAAAATTCAAATCGTGATATTGTCTGTTCTAAGCCAAAAGAAATGTGAAACAAATTAAATTAAATTGTTGTAATTAGGTTCAAAATTTTACAATATAATCAAATAAAATAAAACTATTTTTTTGCTCACTTGCTATTACTGATATTGCCATTTTGTTATTATTATTTTTTTAATATTTCTAAACATTGAAATCTCAAAAAAATAAAGTTTTCAGAATGTTCATTTTTTTACGAAATAATTATTAACTTTATTAAAAATATGTAATATACAAATTTTATAGCTAAATAAAAAAAAATGTGTGTAAAAGAAGGAAATAGAAGCTTATGTTTTCAATTATATATGTGCAAAATTTCATTCTATATTATAAAGACCGTTTTCGAAAAAATTGTTTTTTTTTGCAATGATCGTTAAAATTGATCAGTTAATTTAAATCTTGATTTTCTCAAAATCACGTGATCGACATAACCCAGGTTTTGCTGTGCGGGTCCCTATATATTAAATTATTAATATATTAAAATTTTATTTTAATTATTTATAAGTAATATTTTCTAAGTTTTAAAAAATTTAAAAAATTTTTAATAATAGAATTAGATTATTTTAAATGTTTAAAGAAAGAGAAAAAAAGAGAGAGATTTTGATATTTACTTAAAAACATTTTTATATTTATTATCATTCAGTTTTTTATTAAATCTAAAATAAAAAAAAAGATAAATTATTAGAATAAATTATATTAGGAAGGATAATTTAAAATTAAATATTGAAAACCAATATAAAGAAAAATATATAAATTTAAAAAATGTATAAAAAATCTTATGTAATTACTAAAAAAATTTTAAAATAAAGAATGAATTACATACTATTTCAGTTGATTTACCATTTTATAGAATTAGAATAGACTTTGTTAGACCTTTATCATGAACTAGTAAAGAAAATAAATACATCATCATTTCTATGGATTATTTAATAAAATGTTCAGTCCTTAGAAACTAAATTAGAAGATCTAAACGAATATGTAAATAAGAAAAACTGTGATTGATATAATATATAAAATAGCCTTCTTGATAATTGATAAAAAAGGGTGAAAGAATGAAGAGTTCCTCCTATTTGTCTGAGTCTTCTGAAGATTCTGATTCAGTTAAGACAATTGTAATAAGAAAAGGAGAGGCTGTTCCTCATAAGCAATGAAGGAAGCATAGCTGAAAAAAGTTAAAATAAAAAAAGTGGAGTATTTTTTTGATTAGAAATACAGCATATATTATTTATGACACAATCAAATATCTTTTATTTATCAAAATTACTTGAACAGATTTTACATTTTTTAGCGATAGATAAATCCTTTTATTCTGCTCTATTTATTTGTCAGTTTTGGTATAGATATGATGATTCTATTTTATAGAAGCATATTGAGCTAAAGGAAAATGAAGTAAATGATAAAATTTGATTAGAAAGATTTTTAAAAATAGTACCTGAAGGAGAAAGAAAATCAGTTTATAGCTCAAAACTAATTCATCTTAAAATAATATACTACCATTCATTTTCAAATAAAAAAATCAAAGGTATTGCATACATATTTCTAAATATAATTCATTAAGACTTTGAAAAAAGTACGGACTGTACAGGTAAAGTTCTAAAGTTAATAGCAGAATTATACCTAAATTTGAAGTATTTCAATATATCTGCTTTTTCTCATCTTCGAGTAGAAAATGATATAGGTTTATCTGCAATTACACAAACTAGAATATCTAAATATCTCTAATCATATAGAGTTTTCTAAAATATCAATTTGTAATATTGTTCGCTCTTATTTAAGGTTCTAACAATTTGACCTTAGCTATTGTGGAATTACTGATATAACTATCAAAAAAAATTGCTGGCACTAGTCGAAATAGTCCAAATCGGCTAAAAATCAGATGGCTGATTTTAGGCTAATTTTCGCATGTCTGATTTTTTTGATTTCGACCAGTATGGTTTATATTTAAAGTACCTCAATTTGGAAAGGTGTTATAAAATTAGTAAAGAAGCTGTAGATCAGCTCATATCACTTAATC